TTAATTGGAACTTTGTCTGCAGCTGAAAAAAAGTAGAACTTTAATTATAACGCAAAAACACATATGACATCAACTTCAAATATCAAATTATTTCAGGACAAACACTATTAATTGCTTTACTTCGTTTTTTTTTTTCTTCTCTTTTTTTTTTGTTCGCAATATGATATAACGATAAATAGAAATGCGGCTCGGAATAAGTTTGAACCTGCCACAGAACTTTGAAGCATTATGGTTGACAGAATGTCATCAAAGAATCAACAGCAACAGTGTAATTAAATGTTTGAAACTCATACTAAAAATTTTCAGTCTAAGTTGTTGTTGTTGTTGTTGTTTTTGTTATTGGTCTTCGCATTACACTATAATACTACAAATTTTATTTGCAAAACTTGAATTCGATTTTGAATTAAGCGTACTTAAGGTGTTACTTACAGTAAATTTTGTAACAAATTTTCTTGATAAAAGAGCTTATAAGAAAATGTTGAGAAAACAACAAGGAAGGTAAGTTTCTATGTAGTTTTTACTGAAGCTCCAATTTAAGACTGTACCATTAGCAAAAATGTAATCAACACACTTACGTGATTATTGTTGATAATATTTTTACTAAAACACATAACTGTTTCAAAACTATCACTGCAGCATTGAATTGATAATGAAAATTCCTACTTAAAATTATAGTAAAATTAGCAAAAATTATCATAAATTTTATGATTAAATGTTGTTTAATCAACAACAAAAAAAAAAAAAAAAGAAAACCATACAACTAATAAAACTTTTACAACAGATTTATGTGTCATTTCTTACTGTTTACTTTTTTCAAAGCTAATTACTGATTAGTGGCATTCATAAAACTTTCTACAAAGGTTTCAAACCTACAATTGAGACAGTTTATCGGTTAAATAAAGCAAAAATTTTTTTTGGTATCAAACATTCGTTTGTAATGTTGGAATTGCACAGGTATTATGTATAAAGAGTTTACAAAAATGAGCAATGTAAACAAAGTTCAAAGATTATCAATCTCTTTTCCTTTTTTTTTTTTTATGAGAAGTTTTAGCCGAATTGTTTAGTAAAGACTATTACTTTTGCAAAATATTAACGGTCATTACTTCAGCCTTATACGTACTATGTGTGTACTAAGTATATACAGGTGTTTTACATCAGATATATCCAAATCTTTCACAATGTTTCACCTTTCCTTTCCATTGATAACTCTTGACTTCACTGGTCTAAGTTTTATTGAACAGTATCCTTTTTGCAATGTTATGCATCAAAAATAAAGACTATAAAAGCTGTTCAGAAATTATTTATACAGCTGTCAAATTTTTGACTGTTTATATATAAAAGTTAGTATTTGATTTTTTTTTAGCACTTTAACTCGGTGCAATTTTTGTGATTTACAGCTTCCACATAAACATTAATGGCATTTAAACTGTGTAAAACGTCTGAAAACAAAATTTTTTTTTTCTCCAATACTGATATTGACAAAATTTGATTTATTTGAACAAAAATCAACTTTATCTGGTTATAATCCGTAACAATTTTTGTTCTGTAAAACTAAAATCAATTGTAAAAATTATCTTAATTGAAAAAAAAATGTTTATCAATCCATAGCCATAACAGCGTTTACAACTTTTTTTTTTCAGGTACTTAAGCGTTATTTTAGACTAGTAGAAATATTGAAATTCAAAGTATCTTTTTCATTGATTAGTCATAGTTAAACAGATATTTTTGCTGCTATCACTACCATAAGAAACAAGGTTCTATTTTATGACATTTCTTATAAACATGTCTAAATTTTGCTTCAACCATTTGATACAATTAAAGTAACAACTGGTGGCAGTCACGCACCCTTTACGATCTGCATAATTCAATTTTTTTTCTTATCATACAAAAACTGCAATTATATTTTGAGGTGTAAAAAAAAAAAAAAAACGATATCTAAGAACTTACTGTTACAGATATAAACAACATTAAACATCCTCCAACCACCTATTGACTCAGCAGTTTTGATCTTTTTTTCACAGGTACAAAAACCAATAAAAGCTAATCTTCTCATCACTTCAAATGTCTTAATAAATAATCGACTAAAAAAAAAAATGAATTTTAATTGATTGACTATAGGAAAGTTGATTAGCTGACCACGAGAAACAATGGCTCAAAATTGCCTATAAAATTGGGCTAAATTTATAGAATAAAAAAAAAAAAAAAGCATCAGAATTTGACCATAGATTCACTGTAGGCAACAATTACAAATAGTGCTATAATAGAAGTTTTGTGGTGATAGTATAGCAGAAAAATGCAAAACTATAGTTACCTGTAAATTGATCACTGTGGTTTAGTGCAACTATTTAATGCAAAATAGATCTGTTATAATCCAACCAGATTAAGTTATAATTGAGATCATATTAATTTGTTATCTATAGATCTGTTACTGGTACGCAAATTTAATGCATACAGAAGTTACAGGTGAAAATATATGGTGTTAATACACAGTTTCATTATATAGTATAGCGTTGTTGATAAATTTTCAAACTATGTAATAAAACTACATTTTAAGGATATTAAAAAGGAGGAGAGAGAAAAAAAAAACAGAAACATATACAGATATCTTCTTTTTCTTTTTGTCTAAATTAATTTTGAAGGAAATGACTGGTAATGAATGGATGGTGGAAGTGATAAGTGTAAACTAATTTGCATGTTTGGAAGAAAGGCACTACGGAATTTGAAAGAAGAATAGTAGCAGCTGCTGCAGCAAAAAAATATTGCGTTGCAATTAACAAAATTGGTTGGCAAAAATTTTTCTCAACGTCATTTTAAAAAAGAGAAAAAAAAAGGTTGGTCTTTTCTCTGGTGAACAAATTAATTCAGGTGTTGTTCTGCTGCTGTTGCTGCTGTTGCTGCTGTTTTTTAATGCCATAAATATTCGATAAAAAAAAAAAAGAAAAATTTATTTTTATTTTTTTTCATTTTCCTTTTTTTCTTTTTTTTTTTTTTTTTTTTTTTTTT